ATTTTTTCCTTCTCCTTGATGGTATGCACATAGAAACTGAATTCTGGCAATGTCTCCTTGATTGTAATATCCACAGCGGTCCACATGGCTCAGAGAGATTCCAACCCACATTTTTGTTGGTTGGTCCTCCTTCCCCTTCCCAAAAACTGTACTGAATGTTAAGCAGCATTCAACAGGGCAACTGTTGAACCCACATTTTTTTCTTTCTTGTTGATGGGTACGTACATAGAAACTGAATTCTGGCAATGTCTCCTTGATTGCAATAGCCACCACAGTAGACTTGGCTCAGAGAGACTCCAACCCACTTCTTTGTTAGTTGGTCCTCCTTCCCCCTACCAAAAACTGTACTGGAAATTTATTTAGCTCTCTCTTGTCCTTCGAATGTATTTGGCACATGCAAATTAACTGTCGCATTCATTTCTCCTCTTACTGCTCTTCCACAAGATTCTGTCGTCAGAGACATACATGATGAGTTCATACATTTACGAACCGAGGCATTTACTACAGTATAAAAGAAGGTCCAAATTAGAAGGAAGAAGCATATTATATTTAAAAAAATAAAAAAAATTATAATATCAAATGGCGTACATTACGACGTTCACAAGCTTGAGATCTATCAGACTATCATTTTGAATTACAATGCACTTACCAACTTGAATATCTCATATATTATATAGATGAGTGATTCATCAATGATAGTGTTACATGCAGCAGCTGCTGTTTATTCTACATTTGCATCAATAGACTAAGTTTACTTTGCTGCGTGCTTACAATTTTCTTCTTAATATGTCATTAGTATCCTATTCATCTCCTCCCGAAACTTGATTAGAACAATGAGTTCGAGCATCGATCGGCAGGGAGGTACATGAGGCCATCCACCTGCGCCGAGGCCTCGTCGAAGAGCCACTTCTCTAAGAAGGACAAGGGGGGCTGGTCGTCCTCCATTCCCTGCTTGGCTTCAGCACCGGCAATGCCGCTCATGTTCTCGAAGGAGAGCAGTGAGGCGAGGTCCTCATGCATCATGGTCTCGAAGCTACCGCGATCGCTTTCAGCTTGCACCTTCTGTAAGATGATGGCATTGCTGTTACTGCTGCTGCTGCCGTTGTTGTTGTTGCTATCAGTAATGGCGCTTCCCTGCAGCTTCCCTTGTCGTGGCGAGGAACACACCCAACCTTCGAGAAGCCTGGAGATGTTCTCGGTGCTGCTGGCGTAGATCGAGGGTGCCTTGTAGAACCCGGGGAACGTGAGGGTGGCGATGTCCTGCTTCCTTGCTTCCATGTTGTCAAGGCAGATGGAGCTCGTACCACAAGTCATCTCGTAGCCATCTGCAGCTGCCTCATGCTTCTTGATCTTCTTCTTGAGGTGTGTGTTCCAGTAGTTCTTGATGTCATTGTCTGTTCTCCGGGGAAGGTAAGAAGCTATGGCTGCCCATCTACCTTGCAGGGAAATCAATCCCAAGAGAAAGAGCTACTTAGTGGACATGGAACAACAGCATGTAATGTAGCAAGGCCGAGGGAGATCACCTGTTGCCAAGCAAGGACTGCAGGTGGATGATGATCCCTTCTTCATGAGGGGTGAAGTTGCCACGCTTGATGCCAGGCCTCAGGTAGTTTGTCCATCTCAACCTGCAGCTCTTACTGCATCTCGTCAGGCCTGCAACTCCCGGGCAAGAACATGGCAATCCATAAGAACAAAGACAAGGCAAGAAGAAAGATTTGGAGAAAGACGTGCAGTGTTATTTGTGGGATGCAGACATTACCAGTATTTGTGGGAACTGATCTCCAGTTGCCAGGCCCATGCTCTTGGATGTAGGAGACGAGGATGATGTCCTCTTCAGGGGTCCATGGCCCTTTCTTGATGCCAACCTTGTGGCAGCAAGGAGGCCTTCCCATTGATGTAGCTTAGCTTCTACTACTCCTCCTCGTCTCTGCCGACCTTTTCTTCTGCCCTCCCCTGTTGAGCATGTGACTCCTTATATACAAAAGATGACCTCGAGGGAAGGGCGACCTCCCTTTTCGCCTACACATCATCGACCTGTCTGACTCATCCTTGTATAAAAATCAGCCTTCGTTTCCTCCGCCTCCTGTCTCTTTTCTTCCTCACATGAACCAACAGCTCTCCAGAAAAGTAGAAGCCATCAGATAACCACGAAAGCACCACCATCTGTGAACCCTAGCTACGTTATCCATGGACATGACTAGATATGTATGTGATAAGGGAGGGCTTCAACCAGGGTTGGTAGATGTTAGTGTATCTGTCAATGTAAACGGGGCAACAGAGATTCGTACGTACGTCCTTCTCATGCAGTTGTCATACAACGGGCTACGCACCATTTACACATGCAACTTCACGTGCGGAATAAATACACATCCGACGACATGTATAGGTAGATAGATATGTGCAGTCACATAGTATGTATAGGTATCAATGCTTGGCTCATGCATATTGATATATGAACCCCAACGAGGAAAACCAAAAAGAACTAAAATATGTCCAAATATATTGAACATAAGGCATTAATCGTGATAGTTGACGAGTCATGATCAGGTGAAATTGCAAACACAAATAAATCAGTTAACAGTCTAAATCATACTATTTGGACTTCCTTATCCCACATTTAAGTTCTCTAGTTGACGAGATTACTGTGTCTAAATTTGGAGTTCCCTTCATATATAAGATTTGGTGAAATATTAATCGATATAATATTCTCTTAAACTGCCAATGTAATTTTATCTTTAACATATAATTATCTCTCTCTCTCTCTCTCTCTCTCTCTCTCTCTCTCCCTCCTTTTGTTTTGACACCAATTTCCTACATAGATCTCAGTAGAATGATTGATCCTAAAAGTCCTATAACTACCCGACTAATAAAACATGTCCATATGTTTCATGCGGTTCGCATAGAGCAATCATGACCAAATCAATTGCAAGGTAGCAATCAATATGCCACATGACATATTGACCACCCTCACCCATCTCTCCCTTGTTGGTCAACGAGTTAAAGAGTAGGTTTAGTTGATGTAAATAATAGGTTATGAAGCTTGAATCAACACTTCCACTTTATACGTTATAGTCATACAAATTAAAACCCAATAATTGTTGAAAAAAACACTCTTACGAGGGGAGCCAACATAGATGTTGATATTGTAATTAAAATGAATAATCTCTTTTGTATTTTTATTGGTCCATTGTTTACTTCCCGAACTATCATTTACCAAAAATTACCATTTGTAGAACTTATCATTTATCTAAAGCTCTTCGTGAAATATATAGATTTGAGGGAAAATTAATGCAAACTTTCATCCGTGTCACATCTTCAATGACCACCACTACATGAGATGTGATCTTGAACAAAAATAAATCTTAAATCTACGTGCTATATAGCACAATGTCATGCCATAATTGCCGAGGCAATTAGTTGGAGGCATACATGTATAGATAGAAGGACCAAATTATTAATAGCGCAAATAGCAATACAGTTGTAATGAGTTGATGGATTTAACACAAGAAACGTGGCAAGTTCCCTATCATATAAATGTAAGTTCTCATCAAGTTGGGGGGCGTCCGAATGCAATAAAAACAGCATATTGACATGTACCATCAAACACATGACTCAATTGGTCTTTCCATAAAACTGTATTATTGATGATGATTAATGGCATCCTAGATTTGCGTGCATTCATCTCAAGATTACTATAAATGGTTGGAAGAAAGTGGTATCTTATTTTATTATGAGAACAAAATAAATGGAGGCAGTGTTGGGTTCACTATTAGGGTTTACCTAACCACGTGAAAGGTGATTTGGATAATTGAATTAAATTAAATTATAAATTATAAATAAAAAAAGTAATAAGAAACATGCGATGAGTGTAATTGTTGTTTTTTGGTAATTAGTTACTGCCTGTTTGTATTTGGGTCATTTCAAATCAAGTCACCTATCAATGCCATGCAAATTAGGATTGTAATAATTCTTCAATTTGGATTACATACATGTAGCATTTCATGATTCATCCTCAATCATTCTTTAACTAAAAAACAATGATTATGATCCAAAAATCTTTTTTTACAAGGGTATTTGATCCAACAATTAAATAAAAATTGGGTCAAATATTTTAAAAGTTATAAATTTATTAGGTTTTTCTTAACAATGTAAGCTTTTTAAAATATTAATCATCTAATTCAGAATTTTAAGATGATATCAAAGCTCGATCTAATTAGGTTGGGTTAACCCTGGTTAGTTGGTCTGATCCTAATAGTGTAAGTTTTTTGAAATACTAATCATCTAATTCAAGAAAAACATAGGTTGATGCTACTCGATTTAACCGGGTCGAGTCAAACCATATTAGATCAGGTTTGGTTCGGTCGGGTCCTCGGAATATATGCATTTTTGAAATACTAATCATCTACTCGATTCAATCGGGTCGAGTCAAGGGTCAAGTTCGGTCCGATCCGATCCTAACAATAAAAGCTTTTTGAAATACTAATAATCTAATTGAGAATTTAAAGAGGATATGTTCATAAGTCCAAATCAAACTTTGAAGGAAATATTCAATCAGGTCGAGTCAAACGGGGTCGGATCGAGTCAGGTCCAGTCCGATCGTAACAATGTAGGGTTTTCGAAATATTAATCGTCTAATTCAAAATTTTAAGATGATATCAGAATCGATCATAAACTCAAATCAGAATTTGAAGGGATACTACTAGATTCAATAGGGTCGAGTCAAGCCCAATCAGATTGGTCTGGTCCAATTTGATTCAATTTTGCACTTGGAACAATCATGCTATCCGATTAGGAACAAGTTATGTTTAGTAAACTGTGCTCGTGATCATCAAGAGGATCAGATTCTTTCAAGCGTTTCTTTGAAAATAGAAAAAAAAAAAAAAGGACATCAATTTCCAAATAATTATAATCATACTAATAATAATAATATTATTATTACTGTTATTAGAAAGATATCCAAGAAAAAAGGATAACTACGTATTAATTGGCTTAATTGGATGTTCATTTATATTCGATGGAATCAACCGGTCCATTGTTAATCCCTGCGTCAAACACGAACGACTACAACCTGTACTTCCACCCCAAGCCGCTCATCTGATGAGACTTCATGGGGAGCGCATCCATCCGAGGAAGGCAAAAAAGGTGTCTCTGCTCAGTAAAACCAGTGAGATGCTTCAGCCTTGTGCAATGGATCTTCCATCTTCCCGTGCAAAGCACCAGCATGGTCCATGGTGGGTGCAATGAAAGCAGACGCGAAGCCGAACTCACCACCCATTCCATTGGACTGGTTGCCGAGTTGCTGCTCAAATGGCATCGCATCCTCATGCAGAGAGAATTGTTGCTGCTGTTGTTGAAGAGGAGGTATGCCTCCCGAGCTGAAGCTTTTGGTGTCATTGAGATTGTGATCATAGTAACTCATCAAGTCATTGATCGATTTTTGGGCATCAGGAGGAATACCCAAATCAGATATGTCAATAGGATCGAGGCCTGATATAAGGGAGGTCAGATTTGGCTGGGTGTTGAAGGCCGCTCCAATACCTTGAGGAAGAGTGTTCTGATACTGGCAATGGTATTGGTGACTGTTTCTGGCATTCCTGTCAAGAAATCCATGCCGGAGATCGTTGTGTGGGCATTGCACATTAGCACAGGTATAGATGCATTGGTTCAGCACTGGCTCTGCCTCAGCAACACTTCTTTTCCGAATGATTTCCATGTTGTTCTCTTCCTTCACAGCTGCTGCTGCTGCTGGATCTAGAGGATTCCCTTCAGCATGAAACTTGTGATTCACTGTAACCACACTCTTGCCTTCATCTACACCTTCCACATCATACTCACTGCAGCTGCTGCTAAAGGAGATGACTCCAGTAATGCCACTACAGGAAGATGGCGGAATGCATGCATCGGGGTGCAGCTTCCTGTACATGTCCTCCTCTTGCTTGATGACAGCAAGCCATGTCGCGCTCTCTTTCGCGGTCATCTTGTCTTGGAGGCACTTGGACTGCCTGACAAGCCGGTGAATCTTGTCCATGTTAGGCGAAATGTGCTTGATTACAGACGTCAAGACGCAGACCTTCCAAGCTTTCTTCAGATCATGGGGCTTCTTGTAGGGAGGAGGGCCTTGATCATTGGGGATTCCCGGTTGCTGCCACCACTCCTCGTTGCCAGTAGGCCACCATGGCGGTGCGATGCCCTTCTCCAGAGGAAACCTTCGCTGAGGTGGGTTACAATGCTGCATCAGAGCCGACAGAAGAGAACCCAGTGTTGTATCCTGAAGCTCCTGCAATGAACGAAGGCTTGCAGTCTCGGAGTAGAGTTCACTGCTAGATCTAGAGATGGCAGTGTCGGCCTGATACTTGGCAATGGCCGCAGGACCATTCCAATCGAACCTGACCTTCTCTTTCCACCAAGCTCTGAGGTTATCAGATGCACCACTCACAGGCTTGCCATTCTCCAGAAGTATGCCATAGACGAAGCCCTGAGCGTTGCACACCTCCATCAACTTCAGCATGTTCTTGAGGATGCCGTCCTGGGCGCGACACATCTTCTTCCGGCGGGCTTGCTCTTGGGACTGCCGCTGCTTCGATGCTTCACCTTGCAGCTCCTTGTGCTTGTGCTGCTGCTGTTCCTTCAAGCGCTTCAGCCGCATCCTGTCCTTCCACACCCGGTGTTCAAGCTCTTCTATGTCAATATCTTCATCGTTCTCTTCGTCGTTGGCCTCAGCAAGCTTCTCCTGTGGTGGTTCAGTGGGATCTCCCTGTCCATTGCGTTCAGGCTGATGGAGGGATCCATAAATGAAGTTTTTCTCATCCATGGAGGGGAGATTTTGCACTTGATTAGGCCTTGTACGGCAAACAATGTCTTCCATCGACAGTCCACCCATCATCGTTAGCTGCACAGGTATTAATTCAATAGAGATCACAAATTTTCCTAGAATTTAAGATCACAATTAAAGTTTTCCACTGAATGATGAAGAAAATACACGACATTGGAGAATATAAATCTCAAATGTGATATAGGCCAACAGAAAGAAATATAATGAACGAACAATAGCACTGGCATTTTGAGCAACTTGTCGTAATAGGTAAAACAATTCTTCTTTCTATCCATCTGCGATAAGCAGGGAACAACAAGTTATTTCAAGAAAAATGATAGCAGAACCATGATGCAGTAATACATGTTCCAAATTCAAATATAATTTCAGGCAACAAAGAGACCGATGATGTTTGTGGACACCATTTACATTGGCTGCTCTCTGTTCTTCTTTCAAAGGATGCTCACGATGTGCTTAAGATCGAAGAATTTATCGAGAGAAGCATGCTTTCCAGATATTTAGATGGATCTTGAATAATTTAGCAAATGCAAAGAACATGATTCGATGAGTTCATTAGCAAATTGAACATGAAATAAGATATAAACCATGGCAGCTAACTATTCTGAAGAAAACAACATCAAACTTTTCTGAGGAAACAGAAAAGAAAATCCACGAACATCAACATACAATTCCTTCCTATTACCAAAAATTAGCAGCGAATTGATAGAATAAAGTTTAACCAACAATAACAAAAGAACAATCAACTGTTGCAGAGATCAGAACAGAGCTCCGAAACGCGAGGAAAGAAACAGAGACACAAAAGTAATGGAAACGGAGTACGAAAGCCATAAAGGAGGCGCCTTTTCAAGACGGAAGGAAAACGAAAACAAAAAAAATGCACCTTTAATCGTTTGTATCGTTTTCTGCCTCCTCCGTCACGCGACCAATCCTTCCTTTCCGAAGATCCGATACACCACGGAGGAAGAGGAGAGGAGGTGCTGCGCACCAGTCAAAACGCGAGGTAGAAAGAGCAGCAGCGCGAGGGAGGCAGAATCGTCACAGGTTTTTGGTTTAATAGAGAGAGATGAGGAAGGCAACGGAGAAATCGCGTCTCAACGTGGCTGCTGCCGGAAAGAAACGGAGCCGCCGCATTTACTCTTCTGCCCTTCTTCTGACCGGAAATCCCCAAATCGAAGCAACGATTAATTAGGGCAATTAATTTGACTTGTATGTGAAAGAAGCCCTTTAATTTCCCTCACTGGTTATATCAGCAACCTTTATATTTTTCTACATATTTAATTGAGCATATGTCAATGAAGAGTACCGATGATTAATATCTTTCATCTCAGTCGTCCGTTCGACCCTGTCCCAGATCTCAACCGTCCATTTATGTTGGTCTCGCTTCTCATTCTGAGACGAGAGGTGACAACGGAGGCATAATTAAAATTATATGAAAAAAGAAAAGATAAATAGGTTGAGTCATAAACTTATAATCCTCACTCACTTATTATGTCGGACTATTTAACGCATTTAAATTGAATTTGAATATTTTTGTATAGTTCAGTTCAAGTATGAAAGTAATTATTATAGTGGGATTAAGTAGAATGGAATTTATTGGTAAACTATTTATTGCCATTGAGTCAATTTTTTTCAAGTATTAGATCTACCCTAATCATCTTAATTTTCTTCCTCATATAAAAAATCATTAAATGGTACACACTTGATCATTATTATTTACTTTCTAATTTTTCATCTCATGATATGGAATGCATCTCATCATTCAATATTTATTTTCTATTTTAGTTATTTATTTTTTATTTAAAAATAATAACTAATATGAAATAAACTTCCCTACATCAATCGTCTGCCATACAACCTGATCCTCTATCTTTAATCTTAAGATTGTTTTTATAATTATAGATTCTCAATATTTTTCACCCGGTGATTTTTATCATCATTATTTCAATTAAGAAGCTGTAAAAAGTAATGGAAAAATGCATTTATTTATTTATTTTAAGATTTTAAGTGTTTTTGGTTCTTCCTCTGTCTCTGTCCTATAATCATAATTGATTCTATTCCTTTAATAAGTGCTCCATTGAATCAGAAGATACATTCTTTGACATGCCCAAGTAAAAAGGTCTATTGCCTACCTCGACGAAGAGCTTCAAGTAATTGGTTTCATCTTGCGAACAACACAGGAAAGGAAGAGAAGCTAAAGCATGTGTAGAGCTCCAACAGGTAAGACGTTGAAGGCTTAGCAGCACTCATCAACACAACGAAGAGCTTCAAGTAATTGGTTTCATCTTGCGAACAACACAGGAAATGAAGAGAAGCTAAAGTATGTGTAGAGCTCCAACAGGTAAGACGTTGAAGGCTTAGCAGTACTCATCAACACAAGGCCCGAAATCACATGCAACCGAAAGTATTTGTTGTTGGGGATTGCAGCATCTTAACTCAATATATTCTCCTCAGTGCTGATTATTTTATGTGTTAGTAGTACATGGGGAGATGTGTTCTTGCGCACCCATCAAGGAACTTGTCTGCTACTTTTGTGATAGGATTTGCTCGTTAAGCACTTGTCATGAGATGAGAAGAGAAGAAGTGATCATAGCTTTGACATTATCACTTGCCATTTTATGTGGTCTCCTCGATGTAGGATCTACAGATCCTCTCTTAGGGACATCTGCATCTGGGGATGTCAACGCTCACTCCTACTTCTGTAAGACCCTCAGAATACATTGGCATATTGTAGTAATGATGCAGTGCATGATGAGCATTAAATATTCTTAAATTTTAAGATAAAAAATTTAATATTTTATTTTATTTTTAAAAAAAACTCATATCTTAAGATAATTGTAAAATTTAAAATAATCACACTATAATACATTATGAATTTATAATTTATGTTTGACTTTTAACAAATTATGACTCATTAATTAGATAATTTAGGGATTCGATATATAAGAAATATATAAAACATAAAGAATGAAAGATTGTTTTAGCATTTTAGTTTTTGAAACCTTATCAATTTTTTATTACGAGAGCTATTAACTCTTAGTATATTTTCAAATAGAAAGAGTTTTTTTTTGTTCTCTCATATGTCACTTTTTTTTTTTTTCTCACTGTCATCCTATCTTTTCTTTTTTGTTTCAATCATGTGGTATTAGGGGTTGCTATATTCTTAGAGTGCTTACTTTTTATGACAACTAGAAGGGGTAATGGACAACACGATGAAAGAATAATGCTAAGATATAGGTTGAAGATGAAAGGAATGCAGAAATTAAAACACTAAAGATATAGGTTGAAGAGCTGTGTCTCGAATATCAAGAAACTCATAACCCTAGAGGCTCAAGCTATAATTATACAAGTGATGGATTTGAAGACATGAATCTTCTTACATCCAAAGCTTGTAAGAGACCTATCCATAGAGAGGTTTTTTCATACAAATGATAACATCAAGATTGACTAGTTAGAGTTCCATAATCGACTTTAACTTGAAGAATTTCTTGATTAGTTTAATGCCATTGAGAAATTCTTGAAGTACAAGGAGATTACCGAAGGTCAAAAAGTAAAATTAATTACTACAAGGTTTTGAGGTTATGTTTTAATCTAATGGGATAAGGTGCAAGAGATATACCTTTGAAAAGGGAAAATAAAGATTTCATCTTGAGAGAGGAGATAAAATCTCGGTTCTATGAGAATTTTCTTCCATCTGATTATGTTCAAACTCTCTTTTCATAATTTAACAATCTTTAGCACTGTAGAAAAATCATCGTTGACTACACTGAAGAATTCTATAAGTTAATGACATGAAATGATACTAATAAGACAAAAGAGCAACTTGCTACAAAATATGTTGATAGCCTACGAGTTATGATTCGAAATAAAGTAGTGATGTTTATTAATTAGTACTAAAAATTGAAGCAAAACTTGCTAGAAGTGGACCAAAGAGATATTCTAATTTCCTTTACATTCTTCTTCTCAAGTTGACTCGAGATAGAGTGGAGATATAATGACTATAAAGATTATCTAATGTTTATCAATTAGTATTAAAAGTTAAAGCAAAACTTATTAGAAGTGGAACAAAAAGGTATTCTAATGTTCCTTTACGTTTCTCTTCTGACTCTACTTGTTATAATGCTAGTGGATCAAAAGCTAGCAATATCATGAAAAATACTTCCAAACTAACTCTTACCAATAGTAGAGAATAATCTAGAGCAAAACTTGCTAGAAGTGGAACAATGAGATATTCTAATAATCCTTTACATTCCTCTTCTGAAGTTGACTCTACTCATTATACAGTAGATGATAAAAATACTAGTGGAATCATAAAAAAATGCATCCAAGCTAACTCCTACTAACAGTGGAGGACAATCTAATTGCACAAGTCACTTTCCTACTAGCTTCAAATAGCTTCAAATGTAAATACTACATGAACGAGTGCCCAATAAACAAGCTAATGCATGAGTCAACTTTGTTGAAGAAGAATATGCTAATGAATAACTTGAAAATATTAGAGAATCAATATATGACGAATACCCCAAGAAGGATTATGAAGAAATTGCACCCAAAGAAGGTAAATGCTTGATAATCCATAAAGTGCTTGCTATTTCAAGAGATAATTCTAATGAAGAATAATTATGAAATAATATTTTTAAGACATGTTGTAAGTCTTAAGATAAATTTTGATCTCTTATTATTGATGGCAGTAGTTATAGGAATATAATGTCTCAAGATATAATAGATAAGCTTAAGCTCAAGATTGTACACATCCTAAACTATATCAAATTACATAATTCAATAAACATAATGAGATACAAGTTACTAATCCATACCTAGTTTCTATTTTGATAGGAAAAAATTATAAAGATAATATGTAGTATAATATAGTACCAATAAATGTTAGCCATATACTTTTAGGAAGATCATGATAATTTTATAGGTGTGTTATCCATGATGATAAAGAAAACATATATACTTTTAAATTCTCAATGGAGTTAGAATTATGCTTTTGTGGTACAAAGAAAAGTTTGCTACCAAATCTTTAACCCAACGGAAGGGATATATTTTTTTTATTTTAAATAAGTTAGAAAGTA